TATAGTGTTTATCACAGCAACAGAAAAGTAGCTAATACATCCATCTTAGGGCATCAAATGTGCAAAGCTGTTAATTGCTTAAAGGAAGTGACTGCCTCACTGTCTCACAGTACCTAGCCTTATGACTTGTAGAGAGTGGGTTCTTTATCAATGCATTTGTCCTGTCATTTGCTTATTTACTTGGAGTTCATACCATTGTAACCTTAGACCAATCATAGACCAGCTCTACTTGGCTCGTGCCTTCTGAGATCTCAATGGAAGGAAAGCAGACAGCACTAACCTTCAGACCATGAGATAAAGGAAATAGACCTGTGTAAGGGGCTGCTGCTCACTGCTGAACAATTACCCAAAGTGGACCCTGGCTAACATTTTATTTTATGCTTTATTTTATCATTGTTTTTGTTGGCTGTAATATTGGAAGGAAAATGTCATTTCAAAGGACTCTGATGAAAAATAAAAGTGATTTTTGAAATAAAAAATATGACATGTTCTTAAAGGTCTATTATTTCTGGTCTAAGAGGGGATGAGGAAAAATCAGAGGACCCAGATAATTTCTATGGCTCTGGAACACCCACAGTGCTTCAAAATGTTAACAGTTAAACTCCTGTAGGAGGCAACAAGTATTCCAAGAAAGTTTAGAAGTTAAGACAAACAGACACAATCTAAGTTACTACCTTTTGGCAGGGTAATTCTAGACCCTTTCTAAACAAAATGCATGATATTGGTTTCAAGGTTGTTTGACTAATGAATATTGAAACTACTTTGTACTTATAAAAATATTTAAATCATATTTAAAATTTTAGGGAAAATAGTTTAATGGCAAGCTTCTGTTCTCAAGAGGAAATTGGTATGCTCAGTTTGTAGAAAAAATAAATGCTAAATTGATTCTAGATAGAGCGACACCTATTGGGAGATATAGAAAGGCATGTCAGAAATGGGGGAAATCACTGGGACGTGAATAAGGATGTAGATTGCAAATTATAAGATTTTCTAGTTATTTGTTTTAGAAGGCATTGTACCAGAGTGACTGCTGT